GGATGTTGTGAACAACTTGACCAATCATGAAATCTCAAAATTGGATGCCTATGATGATATTTACGTTGCTGTGGGCAACGTAACCTGCTTCGTCCTATTCGGAAAACGCTACAGTCACAATGACAATAATTTCAAAAAGGTCCTGTATCTTAGTAAGCTGTTTGCCACCGCAATCACGGGGAAGGGAAACGTCGTCGACTATCTACCATGGATGACATTTGCAATGAGAAAGGTGTTCGCGAAAGTTGGAGATGACCTTGACGAGTTTAACAGGTTCATAGATGAGCAGATGAACTCGCATGTAAGTAGCAACTATAAAGCAAGAAGTGTGATGGATAGTCTGATTGGAATATGCAACGATGCGGAAAAGACTGAAGGTTGTCCACTAAAAACAAAAACTGATATTAAGCGGATGCTGTGTTGTTTATTTGGGGCTGGCTATGAAAACACCACTAACACAATATACTACTTGGTACTCTACATGATCATACATCCGGAAATTCAGTGCAAAGTACACAAAGAGATTGACCGAGTAGTCGGCAGAGATCGACTACCGACACTTTCTGATCGAGCAAAATTGCCTTACACAGATGCTGTCCTGCAGGAAGTTATCCGTCATGCGTCGCTTGCTCCGTTGACGATACCATATTCGACCTTGAACGACACGCATCTCCTTGGGTACACAATCCCGAAAGAGACGCCTATATTCGTGAACCTGTGGTCTGTAAACTACGACGAAAACGAGTGGAAAGACCCACATCGATTCAACCCTGGTCGATTTCTTTCTGACGACGGCTTGTCAGTGAAGAAATCACAGGTGGCAAAGATTGTTGCTTTTGGTTTAGGGAAAAAGCGATGTCCAGGTGAGCAGCTGGCACAATTGGAATTGTTCCTGTTTTTCGCGATTTTCATGCATCAGTGCCAATTTGAAAAGTGTGAAGGTGACAATCCGCAGTTGACAAGTGTGTATGGGTTGACTTTACGACCAGTACCATTCAGAGTTGTCACGAAGCAAAGAGGACCAGTACTAGGAATGAAGTGAGCTACTATTTTGAATAACAGAGCGAAAGGGAGTTTATTTTTTTGGTTTATTTTTTAAATACACCAAATTTTTTTATCATGTCAGGAAAACTATCTGTTATT